AAAAATGTTACAATTCTTTCTTTGGAAATTTGTACCTGAATATTATAAGTATTTTGTGATAACAACGGGTAAGCTTCACAAACACCAATAACTGACAAAAGACTCGATATTTCTTTGGTTGCGTGGCATATAAAATCTTCTTTACTTTCCTACAATTCTCAAAACATCACAGATAAATTCTACCGATCTATTTTACAAGTTTTAAGTATCAATAGGATTTTTGAACATCCTACATGACTTAATGCATCAATCGTCTTAACTGAAAAGTAGCAAGCAGCTGCAGAAATAGAAAAATAAAATCTTAAAATAAAAACATACTTTTAAATGGGAGATTCGCAAACGCGGTATAATATCCATGAAAGTTTCCTCAAGTGTACGCTGTCTTTCAACATACCACTCCCACCTACAAAAATTTTCCCTTAGTTATTTTTACCTATATTTCTCTCATCCAAAACGTAATGTAAAACTTATATGAGAAAACAAACATTGCTTTTGGATACTTTGTAGTTGTTTTATTAAAAACAAAAATTCTGCTGCATATAAATCTCAGAGAAAATATAAAAAGTTCTTTTATCAAAAAAAAGGATATTAATTTTGCACATAACACTCAAACGTAAGCAATCATAAAAAATATAAATCGCTACAAAGTTAAAATTATCCAATATAACAAAATACTAAATACAACTTCAACTGTTACAAATACAAAAAAGACGAAAAATAGTGGCAAACTAACTTTGAGTAATCCCCAAGAAGTGAAATTGCACACATTGCACGATCGTGAAGGGAACCACCATTCACTTGAAACAAGTATGAACCAACAAAAAGATGACGCTTCGGCAGCAAAGTCAACTTATGTATTAGCGGATTTGACGGCATCGGTGTGCTGAAAGGACTTCATTCTACTGCATATAACTTTCAGAAAAGTAATTAGTAATTAGAAAATTTCCAGTTGTTATGTCTTTAGCAGATATGGTGTACCGAAGTGCAGGAAATCTGGTAAAGCAATAGCCATATGAGTTTACCAAAAGTTGAAATGCTGACAAACTCAGTCTAGCAAATTCTTAATATCTGCTCTTTAAATATGAGAATGGTTCGATTCCATGATCGCTATGAACACGGCAGATGAACTAAGTATCAAACCTGCAAATCTGTTCAGCAAGAACGAATTTTGCAACATATTCCTCGTCAGAAAGCTGAACTGTACTATTCTCTCCAACTAAACCACACAGAGTCTCATAATCAGCTTGTCCAACACAGTGAACATTTCGCTCCTTTCCAATACAGTTTTCGGTTGCCTAACAATTAACTGTAGACATCAATTTCTTGAAACCATTGTGTTTCTATTTCACAATCGTAGCACAAAATGCATGCGCAAAACAACTGTTAAGTCATTTGATTGGAAATATTAGGAAAACAAAGTTACAATTTTTTAAGCATAAATTATTTCACTTCTCATCTTTCATGGATTCACAGTTGACTTAAAAAAATTAGTTTTCGAATCAAAACTAAAAATTAGTCATCTAGAAGTTTGGCCGTTTGTCGCTCATGCTTTTTGTGTAATAGTTTCCTAATAACAAACAATAAATATCCGTATGTATGAAAAACACTATTCTGAGTAGCTAAGCAAATTTAACGCAAATAAGCTGTACAATCCTTTCAACTCAGCATATACAATTGAAGAAAAATCATCCCCTATTATCCGTTATGAAATGATTATGACTAACAGTAAAAGATTTTTGTGTGACTTCTTCATTTAGCTTGACATTTAATATTTCTTTCGCATGTGAACCGCCCATCACACTCAGTTCACTATATATCGATACAGTGCCTACTATACCCGAATCGACACCAGACGAAACCATTCCTGAAATTTAGCAGTTAAATGATCCTTTAAAAAAACCAAAAAAGTTATAGCATTTACTGAAGAACAAATCTTCTGAAAAAAAAATTATTCCTTACTATCGTTATGATATTCTTGAATACCTTGTAAGTCTTCACTATTTTTTGCAGATGTCTCATCAAGCACCAGTAAATCCCCAACTGCATTCACTGGACTCACTTCGACAACTTCTTCCTGACTTAACGATGATAAATTCATGTTAAAAGATACTGAACCTAACAACAAAATTAGCATGTATTAGCTACTGATATTGATAAATTATTGCATTTAATCTTGAACTAACAAAGAGAATATAAATCAAGCAACTGGAAGAATACCTTATGAATGTTGCTGTCCTTATCACTATTTGTTGAACTGTCAAGGTCGCCACTTCTTGACGCAGAAGTCAAACTTGCCTAAAATAATTAAAATAACATAACAGTTGAATTCAATACCAACTCTGAGCACTTTTACATCTAATCCATATTACTGCGTGTTCTTGCTTTTGATTATGAATACAATATTCAATAACAGGTCTAAGAAAGAGAGAATTCAGATACTACATGTTTCATACAATCGCTATCACTAGCAGCTATTGTAATGGTCCCATCAATAGTTGAACGACTTTCAGTCATGAATTCATCCAAATATAATCGCTCATCACTGCATATAAACATATTCATTTTAAAAACATCGTGATGCAGTTCAGAAGTTTGCTGAAAACAAAGAAAAAAAGATGTTCGAAAGTTAGAACGAATAAGCTAATCAATTCAGAAATGACTACGTGAAAGAATGTTAAATGAGATACAGAGCACCACAAATGAAAGAACTATCGAAAGCTAACATCACAATGATAACAAACAAAATCTCCACTGGTGTCAGAACACATGGCACATATCTGCATATCGGATATTGTTTCTGACAGTAACTTACTCTGAAACTATCACACATTTCACATATTATGATAATCGACTTTCTTTTTTACTCAGAAAAATTTCGAAAAGAACTGACAAGCTATTTCAGTACTGAGTCTGACAAGTTACAAGACAGTAAACAAATTACCCTATAGACATCATCAATTTCTTCATAATCAGCACTACTGCCACAACCTTTAGTTATGGAAGAAGCGAGACTCGAATCATCACGTGAACTATCTGACAGTGAAGTTTTGCCGCTCGATGTAGGTTCGCTTGTAGCAGTAACTGTTTCCCAAGTGAAACCCAATTCAGGTCCGGTCATATAATCAAATGATGACCATATCACCTTTCGAATGGCACACGGATGACGGACTGGCAGTTGAATTTTGCGTGATGAATCCTGAAATCTAATAATACTAGTGGTAAGCAATTCAGGATAAGAGAGATAATAAGACTTTGTAATTAACTGCCCACCTCGATGGCTTCATAGATCTGAAGAAATTTATCTGCTTCAACAGCTTCCGAAACCATTTCCACCATTGTTAGAGCCCCGTCTCAGAAGGAGCAATCCACCAAGCCACATCTATAGCAGAACAGTAACAGCCTTCCATTTCCATTCGCTGACCACGATAGGAAGGACACAATGAAAACAATCACTCCTACGCCATTTTTCACATTTTGTGGTCAAGAAAGTTTTTTCCAAGCGTTTCGAAATTGGCAATAAATACAAGACGAATTCCACCTTTTAACCTCATCCCCTTTCTCTGATTAGTAAAAAAGAAAGGCTGGAAGCCTGCCAAGTGAATAACAATGCAAATAGATTTATTTTCCATATTTCGTCACTTCTTTCTTTGATCGACCTTAGAAATGAAGTTGAAAAAGTTTCATGTCGTCCTATAGAAGAAGAAATCATTAATCCAACAAATTTGGATTCTCTTAAAATCGAAATCAAACAATTCAGTGAACTTTTTGTAATAAATTCTTTTTTAATTTACCTTTAAATGGTTCTAACAATGAAGTTCTTTTCGACAGAGTAGAATTGATCCTAGAACAGTAAAGAATTAAGCGTATGACAATAAGATTCCATTTACTATATGATTTCTTTTTTTAGTTTCAAATAAGGCTAGGAAAAATTTGTGATTTTCGTGTGGAAAATTGAAAATCGAAGACTGCCTCATCATTTTTGGTTCTGCAAAATAAAAGGAAAAGTGGTTGGAAAAACTTTAAAAATGTATCAAAGCAAAACTTCTAACTAGCTTTTTTAAAAGCACATAAAATAATTGTTCATGTTATCTTTTATAAAGTTTTAATGAAGCTAAGAAACCATGTTTGGAAATATAACTTTTTTCCTAAAATTAAATTTTCTGGAGTCCGAATTATGCTATGTTAATCCCAATGCAGAAAACATTCATCAAAATTGGTAACTGATGAAATACAGAACAAATGAGCAAAACAATAATCATTATTTGCGATCGGTAAACTGCTATGAACAGTCAAATATCCAGAAGAAGGATAATCTTGTTGACAGGTTGGATACAAAAATAAGTGATCTTTTCTGTTTGAGAAGGACCATTCGGCACATATTTCATTAAAAATTTCAGTTGTTCAGTTGTTCTTGTATACAACATATGCACTTTCTAGCTGTTAGCTAGCGTTTGTAGAATCTTTGCATAACTTTTTTTATATTAATAAAACATCTATATTTTTATACTTTTTATATTAAAAATCTAGCAACTTGTTTTTATTAACATCTTGGCTTACAATGTTTGTTTTGTGAGGCATTTTATGATAAAATTGGTTTGGCTCAGTAATGAATTAGTAATATTCTTCATTTGGTTGGAATAAGTTCAGTATTGAAATTTCAAGCTAGTCAGTCATGCATTTTACGGAAAAAAACGTCTTCTAAAAGCAGCATATTCTAGGATTTTATGAACAGCGGTATACCAAATAACTACAAAATTCAAGATGTGAAAGAAATTATGAGTTCCTGAAAATTGAGACAAGCATACAAATTAAAAGCACGCTAACTGGTAATAATAATCGATATGGAACTGTGTACAACGATAAAGTTTTAATAGAAGATATGAAAATGTTTGCATAAAAGGATGTTTTCTTCTTGAATCACTGGCAAACATAAAAAGCACAGCTTGAGTAAACAAAGAATGGGTGCCATTTAATAATGGATGTTCAGCAGTCCAAATTACTCACTTTTTACTTTTTTGGTTTCTTTCTTGACGTTTCCGCGCAATAAGATCGTCATATTCCTTGATCAACGATATTATCTCTGGACTTTTAATTAACAGATCCTCTGCCAGCAGAATCTCGATGACCATCCGATAGATAAATAAATACTGCTAAAATATCGCTACAAATAAGAAAAGCAATCAGGTATCTATTTATTTTGGATTTATGTTGTTCTAGGATCTTGTCAAAACGCCATGAAAATTTATCCTTTTTGTATATTTTCCATGTTTCAAAGAAACTTTTCAGTTTTATCCGTTTTTGTAGAGTTAATCGGTTACAGCGATAATACCTGATCATTCTGCACCGCATGCATTCGCTGATCACGTAATTCTTTAACAATATCAGGAATTGAAAGATTTTCATTATGTTTAAGACGATCAACTGCCATAAATATGGCTGCAAATGTGCCCGTTCTGAAAATTCGATAAAATTTTTTCGACTTGCACAAGTTCGATTTCATTTCAACTTAATTTTGTAAAATTACATTTGGTATACTGAACCATTTGATTCATTATGAGATGAGTTATAGGTAGGTAAAAGTAACGCTGAAAGGTAACTCCATTTACCATTGGTGATAAAAGATAATAATTAAAAAGACAAATGAGTATATACTAAATGAACAATAGAAAAGATATATTTTTATTGCAAATGAAAATTTTATAAATTGAACTAAAAGACTAAAGACGAATTCCATCTGCACACAACAGATAGTGTTAAGAATTCATTAATTTTCTCGCTAACTATACATTCCTGCTTTTCTCGACGAACCATATTTTTTCATTACTTTAAACTGTTTCAGTTAAGCTGAAGATATTAAGATGATGAAAAGTCTACAAAAGTTTAAGATTAATCAATGTCGCAAATTTAATGATTCTTTCATTCTCTTCATAATTCTCCAAGAAGTCTTACGAATACAATGGGGTGGAGCCAATTGGAAAACCGCAATCATTGAAAAGTAGCTAAGCAGTAATTTTTCTATCTTCTGCTAGTATTACTAATACCAATAAAAAAAGTATTGAAGTAGCCAAAAATTTCAAGCAATACCTTATTTCTTACTTTTTCTCAACTCATGTATATTTCATTTTGCATTGTAAAGGGATTTAATCAATTTTAAAAGCTACCTTCCAATTCCGGCACTGCAATGTACAATTATAGGCTTTTTTTCGGAAAATTTGAGAGCAAGCATTCGTATTTCACGACATATCGGTGTTGACTCAGCTACAAAATGATCGGGCCAACCACCATACAATAAATGTAGCACCTTCGAAATAAATTATATGATTTTGCAGTTTAATTTAAAGTACCTCGAATAGTTAGTATCATGAACTTGACTATGTGAAATTAGAGTCTACGACGGGACATTCAATATTTTCAATGAATTGGTTTAAAAAGTGGAAAAATAAAAGGATTTGTTAAGAATTCAAATTAACAATTTTAAGTTGGTCTTACAAGCTGGAAATTAATATCGACTTTTACAAATATCAAGTGAGCTGCATGTCTCACAGAAATTTATTATATTTTGTATTAACTTCGTGTTTTTTATCCTTGTAAATAGCTTGTATTTTTGTTCGATAGACTTTTCGAAGTTGTGTCATAGGTGAAGTTTTTTCGATAATTTTAACACGAACGGATCCGTAATCTTTCCACTCCCAATCACTACTCGGGAAATATTCCGCACATTGAGTTTTGCCCTCCTCAGTCCATTGACATAATTGTATTATAACCTGTAATGGACTAAGATAACTGTACAGCTTTGCAGAAATGAATTCTGTGCCTGTTTTACTGACCTTTGAATCTTCTTGTATAACCATACACCAAAAATCTTCAATAGTATTTGGCAGCGGTCCTTGTGCGCAAATGAAATTAATATTTTCGCCAATTTGTACGTATGAAGCATGGTAGTAGTCATCATCTGTTGTTATTTATTTATTTATTTTTTTTTTTTGAATTTTAATATTTTTAAATTCCAGTTTATTTATACCCTGCATGAGATATAATTTTTTCCAAAACGGCGTAAAGTTGTATTGTTTATTTTAATAGAAAAATGATCTCTTACTATTGGGCGTATTCTTGAGTACTACTCTTGTTTTGTCCAGCAGTTTGATATCTTCGAACCTTAATTTTTTCCAAAGCTTGTAAAATTTTGTGAATTTTTTCTACGATTTTTGTAAAAATCAATTGTTCTGAAGAAACTGAGAATGTCTAAAATGAAATTCACCGGTTTTTGTCATAATTTTTGTCAGCTTCCCATGCATTTGTCGTACCAGACGGATTATATGTTCTTATAGTAGTGACGAATTCTCGTCTTATGTTCCTAACACCCATATCAATCACCTGGTCAGCCCATAGCTCGTATATTGTCTTTTTTTTCTGTGGTTCGGAATATTTTGCTACCGCTTTACCTGACTTTTCCTAAATTATTTGCAATGGAAATTCAGTAATGAAAATTTCATTGCATTGGATGCTCAGCAGGAAATAACGAAAATGTAACTGGCCGATAGATTTCAACCTTAGATGGACACACAAAGAGACCACTTTGTAGTGATTGCTGAACTGGAAGTATTATTAGCTCTTTCTTGATAGAAAAAAAAAAAACTTGCATCAACCTAAAATAAACCTTAGTACATGCTCAAGTAGCAGATTTAATGCTAGAGTAAGATGATAAAATTCGATTGTCTCTTGGAAACGACATTAAAAATGACGCGATAATACATATTACACATCCTACTTCATATTTGTTAATCTATGTCAATCCTACTGCAAGATCATTAGTGCGACTTACTACTGTTTTGTGAACAAATTTTTTTCCAATAGGAGCTCGAAAGTCGCTTTGAATTGTGCGACGGCGAATGACACCTTTCGATTGTCTCCTTTCATCCACTGAGCACACCATTCTTCCCTTAGTTGTAGTTGGTCGCTAGAGATATCTTACAAATCAGTTCAGAATTTACACCTAATTTCATCTTTCAATTTTTCATTAGACCGATCAGACTGATCAACCTCTCCAAAAAAAAAAAAAAACCCTTCCACTCCCATTCTACATAATCCTCAATTGCCAACAAACCTTTTTTGGCGGCATCTTTTTTCTATCATACGTACCTTAACCGCGTCACGCAAACCCAGTTTATGAAAAATTAAAAATGGCTTCAAATAACAGTTCCATTTCAATTTTTAATGCTCGACAAATTTACATAATATATATTCAATTGGATTGAATTCAAGAAAGAGTAAAAGTGGTGCAATAGTTTGCAATCTATCGTATTCAGTAATAAGATGTTCTTTAGTAGTTTGTGCTAAATAATTTAACGTTCTCATAAGACAAAAATTATTCGTGGTATTCCTTGAACTTTGAAACGTATTTTCAGTATAGCAATTTATGATTTTGAACTTTAACTGTTTTTTACATTGTTTTTAAGTTTAAAAAATTTACTTCGCTTTTTCTTTACAGTATTACACTTGATGTAACTTCTTTTTACTAAACTTTTTCAGTCACAACTGCATGAAGTTGTTACTAAGTTAAACCGTTCTATTATATGAAATGTTAACGATAACTTTTTCTGAATTAATTTTTAACAAAAGAGTACTTCATTCCTGAGATTCGTAAAGATAATGAAATTATTCGATTTGAATAATTGCTTTGTTTACTTTTAATGTCATTGGATCTGCAAAAGTAATAATAAAAAATGAATTTTATTTTTCGACATAAATGAATAATTGCGAGTATCATGAAGTTCATTCTGAAGTCGACATTCATTTTAAATGTGAAGTAAAACTTTTCAACTTATCCAGTACCAAATATTAGAACTCCTCGGATAGCCTAACTGATTTTTAAACTTTTTTTAATGCCCGTAAAAAAAAATGTGATGATTTTAGGCATAATATAATTTAGAGTTGGTAAAATCTACCGTATTCCTAGTATTATCTCCAAAAAAATTAATAAGAGCAAATTGCAACATATAAAAACTTGTTGCATATGAAATTAGGCATTTTCAGTTGCGTACAAAAGATGTTATACAGCGCGTTCTTGTGATCTTATCCAGACAATAACGGCAAGCGTAATTAACGTAATTCTGCTTCTTGTAGCCGCTGCAGATTTTCTCCTTCCAGAAGGTTGGCAATCCTGAAACAAAAAAGTGTATGTTATTTTAATTTCTGGTTTCATTTTAAATTTGATTTCACTTGCAATTTTGCATGATCGATAATCAGTCATTAAAGTTGTTGTACTGGAAATTGAAAATTGTACTAGAAAATTTGGGTCATAATAACTATTTCTTCAATTTCCAGAAATTTATGCATTTCACTGAAGAAGTTGATTATAATAACAGCTAATTGAATAAAACAATCTTATGGCTAGTCTCTTCGGAAAAAGAGCCTGGTCGAGTTTATCCTGCCATTTCCCTGAACATTACACATTGCAAAGTTGACGAGTGGATCTCCAACTTTTGTAGAGATTATCCTTTTTCAAAAAGTGAAAATAATACTTACTTCATTCATCTTTAATCGAGTGTCAGATGGAGATGCAAGCAAATCTTTCAGTTTAGGTTGTTCAGCTGATCCCGAAGGTACTTGCTGTTGAGGAGTAAGTGGAAGATTCATTGCTTGTACGCCACTTATTCCACCGAATGCAAGTTGCTGTGGCATGGACTATGAAGATTGTTATTAAAGAGAATGTTGAAGTTGTGAGTGAATTAATATATAGAACATATATTATAAACAAACTATTTGATTTGCTTACATTTGCTAGAAGTTCAACGGGTATTTGTTGATGAACGGATAGTGCGCCCTGAAATGGTTGCACTGGTATCGGTATCACTGCTGCGTTTCTCTAAAACTAAATACTTAGAAAACGAAAAGAGGAAATATTTCGAAAGTTGTGTAGGAAATTATAGAATCTCCATTAAGCTGTTAACGAAAGATATTATGGAAAACTTTTCAATCTCTTTTGCTATTTTATCTTCTTAATTCAATTTATGGAACAAAAAACACTGATGAAAAGATTCTTCATGAAACTCTTTCAAATTTTCAAAAAAATGCATCAAAATTGCATATTGGGTAAGTCGACTCTAGAGATCATCAGCGAAAACCTCATCTGGAGATAAAACATTGCCCAGCAAGTTTGTTGGATGGCAAATATTTGCAGATGATAAGTTAAATTCTTCCACATATCCGAGTTTCCGAAGATACTCAATTGCTAGTTTGTCGTCTAATGGCACTATCACTTCTGCTAGAAAATTTACATACTTGGAGTCAACATTTCTTTATAATACTCTAATCCTTTGTTTGATTTGACCTCTTTATTGGTCATTTATCCTGGTCAAAAATCTCGCCCATCAGTTTCTTTATGCATTCAGTTCATTTTTCAAGTTTTCATTAAAGCTCCGAGTTTCCAAAGATTGACTCAACATAAAAGCGAAGTTCAATAAAGTTACATATGAAAGCTTCAAGCCTAAAATTAGCTCCAAAATTAAGGATAATAAAAAATAGTTTAACTTTGATATATTGCAATACAGAGATCACTTACTCATTTGTCTCTTTCGACGCCGATTTTTTGCTTGAAATATATCTGAAAACAAGAATAATTGAAATAATTAAATCCAAATCTTTGATCACAAATTTCGAATATTTGCAGTGAAGACAGGATTTCTGTAAAACAAGAGAAATGAATGGAAAATATCGGAGAAACCCCCGATCCGCCGTATTATTGTTGAGGAATCTTTAAAACTTAAGAAACGAAAAAATGTATTCATATTTGATTCTTTTTAAATTTATAAAACAGTTAAGAAAATATTTGTGAAACAAAAAAGCTCAACAATTTGACAGGGCTGCAATTAAATAAATTCAAAAATTGCTTTTAAGCACATGCAAAATAGAAATTTTGAGACAATTTGAAGGACATTTAAATTTTAATGGCAAGTGAATACTTTGCAATTTTGTGCATAATTTTAAAAACATTATATATTAGAGCTGAGAATATTTACCTAGAGCAATAGGGCATGGTAAGAGCTGGTTAACTTGTACACTGCATGGGCAATGATCAACAGGCATTACTGGACAAGTTGTTGGAGTTGTTGGACAAGGACATGGGATACATTTCCGTAACGGAAGTACCATTTTTACAGTTTTTGACCTGAACTCTTACTTATTGAAGAGTGTAGTAGGAAAAAATACATTTTGCTATCTTATGTATTTATGATAAGCTTAATAATGTAAAACATATCTGTGAAGAATTAATAGCCTCTGAAGCTTCTATAATTCCAAAGTTTTCATCGCTTATTTTGAGTAAAATTTAAATTTAATATATTTATTAGGATTCTAGAGATGTTTAGGTGAAAGATTCGACTACTCTATTAAAGGTGTAACTGTATTGAGTTTAAAAAATGTGCATGACCTGAGAGCTGTTGTTTGTGTCGTTAATTTCTCACTGCAAATTTCCTGAAAGCATTTAAGTCATCTCTTTCATGAAACCAACTCTCTTCATACCTTATATATATTTCGTAGTAAGGTGTCAAAAGAATGTATAAGATGCTCCAGTTACTATAGATGACAAATCTTAATTTTTCACCTCCATCGCAGTGTCATTTTTCCCAGAGCATTTGTTTTTGCAGCAGTGTAGAATTTCGTCAACTTTCTTCTGCAAATGACGCAGTTTTTGAATTACACCAACTTCCCAATTTTCATTTTTAACAGATGATACTGTCGACTGAATTTGCTAAAATAGTGAAAATGTAAAGGAATTCTTCTTTTTTATAGACTGAATTTTAACAAAAAGAACGAAAAGAAAATATTTCATCGTTTTCGAATTTTCAGAGAAATATTTATGCTGTCTTTGATTTAATGTATATTTTTATCAACAGTATAAGAGATGTGCAAAATTATCTATGCAATAATTATTGTTTATTTAAATGTTCTAAATAATAGTGAGCGCAGAAGTGACATTTCCCTTCCTAAGTTTTTCTTTCATTTTCTTATATTTCCAAGAAATAAAGCAAAATTCCTATTAAAGATGTCAACAACTTACTGCCTCACGATAAACTTCTGTTGAGCTATTGACTGACTTTAAATTTGGAGCTGAAACGAATTAACTTGGCAGAGTTGTTGATATAGACAAAAAAACACTGTTTCAAATTTTTAAAAGAAATTAGTTCATTGCTTTGGTCTTTCAAGGCTTTCTTAATTTAATAGTTTGAAAATGAAGCAATGAAACATTGAATTTAAAAAAAGTACAGATTGTTCTAAGTCGTTCACTAGCACTAGTTTCATGTAGTATAAAAACGTTTTGTAGCAATAGTACGATCAGCGTGACAATTCGGCTCATCCCTGTAATTTAAAATTTAATTTCAATTGATTCTGATGTGAAAACGAAACACTTAGCTTTTAATAGCTGAGGATTTAAAAATTAGAATTTCTTAGAAGTTAGCTTCCAAAAATAAGTTAACATCAGCTGACGAAAATTCAGCAAGAATTTTGACGGTATAAATTAAACAAAAAAAGATTCGTGAAATATTTATTATTTTTTTTATAAGTTGAATGGAATGACTTTTTCATTGATAGGAAATAAGTAGCCTGGACAAATATTCCAGAAATTGCAAAATAGGAGATGAGATGTAAGCATTGTTAATTATCGAGGTCAAAAAGTAAAACTTAAATGATGGTATTTTGAAATATCAAATTCTAAAAAGGAAATAGTTTTGCTGAGCACCGTAATGTTGCTAGGAATAGTATGGTACTGCCAGAAACTAAGAAGAGTGAAGCAAAGTGTAAATAGGAAGTAAAGGAACCAAAATGGCGTTTATTGTAAAATGATGAATATGAAATGAGCCATCCTTTACACAACTGTTACTATTTCACCTTTTTTCACTTCTATTTTAGAAAAATTTGTATTATATTTTCGTTACAAACTAAGTGTTGGCAATTGTATTTATTTCAAAGAATGATAGTTCGTACACGTAAATGACCACCCAAAAATTCACCACCTTGTCACTGTATAAAATTTTTGCAAAAAAAAGTTTGAGGGCACAAAATGCACAAATATACATGAAAATATTGTAGACCGCGTTTTGTAGTTCGTTTATTTTTTGCTATTAACTTACAAGTGCATTTAGTTGCCATAACTAAGATTTTTCGATTATTTTGCAATTTTATCATAAAATAATGAATTATTGAAATCTTAGGACGGTTTTCTACTTTACGTACAAATTTTCGGTCAGTTTTTATGCGAGGACCTAGAAAAACTTTTGTAAATCAACTAAGGGTGAGTAATTTTCTAGAAGCGGTAAATAATTTGCTAGACATACTGCCGAAAACACTGTGAGAAGATATATATTAAGCTATGCATTTTCGGGATAAACTTGAGACTAACCTGAAGTTATGTCATAACTGTGAAAGGAACATACTTCACAGACCTAAAACAAATATGTTCTAAAACTACCCGACTTTTACACTGCACTCAAAAACTGACGAAAATAAAATGTCAGTAGTTTTGATTTCAATTCCAGGGAAATAAACACATGAAAGTTGAGTGTCCATGAACTAAAAATTCCAAAAACAGAAAATGATGTTCTGAATTGATCTTCAAAATTTCAGATCTATTTAATAATTTCATCTAGCTCTTTATTTAGTGTTGATTTCCACCGAGGAAAAAAAATTGCACTTCGTTTCGAAATGAAGAATCGAATATTTTCTTGATGGTAATTTATTGTGTGAGTTTAAGGCAGCAAGAAAAAAGGGGAAAAAGTGCGGATGTTGCGATCGCACAAAAAAAGCATTCCCGAAATCGTTATCTTACCAATTTCTTTCTTTTTCATTCGCATAGATTTTCTTAAGAAAGCAAAAACCATTTTTCTTTTCTTTTTTCTTCTTGCATTACCAAACACATTTTATAAGTCCATTTTTTTACTTTTAATCTGATTTTGCTTCATTTTCGTAACAGTTTTACCATACAAATCTCATTTTATCTTTGAAGTCAAGAATTTGAGAATGAGAAATGATCAGGGAAGAAATGAAAAAAGTCGCTCTGTTATATCACCTTTATGCTTCCTCAGCTTTTCCTCCTTCATATTTTTATTACTGTTCGCTCTTATTGCTAGAATGTTTTCTATTCTTTTTTTTTTTTTATTCTTTTTAAATATGATTTAATAGTTAATTCAAAAAAAAAAAAAAAAAAACTCAATCGCCCGATGCATTCATTATTATCATTCGTTGAAAATTTTGCTCTTCCTGATATTTTTGCAAAGTTTTTGGGCGATCATTTCTGTATCACCATCTAAGTTGAACTTTTTTTACGAAAGAATTCTTTTTTAACAAAAAGTTTATCTTTTTGATAAAGCAGCTATGAAAATACATATTTTGCAGCAAAAAGAAAAATAATTTCAGTTTCTTAAAGTTGCAAAGCTTCTGAGAACTTTAAGGATAAATAAACAACTTAGTCATTTGACTTATATTACAAATATTCCTTGTTAAAATTTGGCCACTTTGTTTTCATAACTTTGTGCAAATTCCATAACTTCAAACCTTTCAGGATTTATTACTATGATAACAATTATAGTTTTGAGAGAGCTATTGAATATGAAATATATTATACCTAAATTTCATTGTAAAAATATCACTGCTATATCATTCCACTCTCTATAACATTCGAAGTATTTGGGCAAATTTGGAGGTCAGTCAGACTGATTAATTTTTATTTTTCATTTTCTTCAGTCTTACAGATCCTCCAGAAATTTTAGTTGATTAAAAAAGTCTTGTTTTCACAGTAAATGCAAGCGACATATTGAAGAAAACTTATATTTTGGTGTCAAATGTAATTTCTTTTTTTTTTTTTTTGCTACTAAACCGAATAAAATATTAGACACGAGGATATATTATTATATACTATCTAAAGAGCTAATCAAGCAACGAAAATTCAATTCTATTCTACCAAAAAAGGGATTTTTGTGAAAAATGTTCTTCTTTATCAGTGCAATTCTTGCGAAACAAACACTCACCGCCAATGCAGTCGTGATAAATGCCTTCTTAGCAAGTCTAAACCGCCAAATTGAAAATGCTAATTAAGCGAGCAGCAATTACCGTAGCCATCTTTCAGTAACAATGAGGATTCTTTGCAGTCTTCATTTTTTAGCTGAAAAAAAGATGGATGTCTAGGGCAATATGAAGAGAGTGTTTGGATTGCTAGTAAGAGAAATGTGACTCACAGAGCTCACCGTGACATCAATAAGCTAATTTAGCATTTGTAGTGGAAATGTTCAGGTGCTCCTTTGTCTCGTTCCTTGTTACCTCCAAAACAGTTGTGCAGTTACTACGAGATTGCTCGAAATTGGGATAGATTTTTAGTGAATATTGAGTGGTATGCAATATTGATTATTTGCAAAGATTGACAAAGAATGGAACTGTGTTCGAACAAAGATTTCCCTGGAACATTTCACCTTTCTGCGAGCGAATATGCAATGACCTTTTACATCGTTCTACACTTTGTCATTACATTGCGACGTGTTCTGACTATGGATTGTTGACACGCTTTGTCTGACGTACTAACACGCAAAACCTTATGAACGAAGCAATTTCATCCTTTCATAATGATTCTGAAAATATTTTTTTAAAATTAATTCCAATTAATCTTATTTCAGTTGACGCAATGTAAAAAGGATAAATGTCAGCTGATCTTGTCATTTAATGTTCTCTTTCCTACTAATTTAATATATGCTAATCTGAAGCTCAATTTAATGAAAAAATAAAGAACAAATATGCGCTTTTATGTACGTGTGTGTCTTTGCGTACGTCTACGTGTATCGTAATGCAATGATATCTCAGATTATGATTGAAAGCCTGAAGAAAATGATTCTTGGCATTGTTGAATTCAGTTGTACCTTATGTTGACATGTATGGGATGTATAAGTGACTCCGATTTTCGGGAGTCAAAATATAATTGTCACTGAGTTCGAGCCAGCGATTGAAATTCACTCTCTTTTCCTTTCCTATATTCAAATTGGACACAATCGGATGTAATTTAGTCTTGGAAACAGGAAAACGTTTCTTGGATGAAATTCTCTTTCAACTATATCTTGGACAATTATTTTCTGCTAAAATTTTGCAGGCTTGCTTTTCATTTCAAGTTT